CTCCCCACCTGTAACACATCACATTTTAAAAGATCCACACCTCAGACGTGTTTTTGTCTTTTGAAACACTGACCACACTATCCCTTCATATCATGAGATCACAGAAACAGGTGAACTCTATTTCACCTGCTCCGTGTCCCGCCTCGTTTGAATAATAAATGATTAAGTTATTAAAGCTAATGTCGAACTATAATAAAACGCTAGTGTTTTGATTTCGCACCCCCCACTCCCGTAATGTCGCCTGAAATAAACTGTAAATGAGACTTCGTATCTGCTGGAGACGTGTGACCTGTCTAAAAATTATGGAGTAATGTAAAATGATCTGTACACTTGGTACTGTAGACTATCAACATGATAAGCAACTCAGTTTTGCTATCATGTATTATAGTGGTGATAATAATTGTATTTTTTTACGTATAATTTCTCACAGAAAATGTTTATGTTTCAACTTATTGCATGTATCAGAAATATGAGGATTATAGTCCATATTTGAGCTTAAGTGCAACGTTTAGGAGTATGACTATGACTATATTAAGTATCAATGTGAAAAACTACGTGTATAGATCAAGCTGAAATCCGATTAAAATGCCGATTCTGGATAGAAATCCGTTTTCAATAGCATTTTTCTTTTCCGGAAGGATAGGCACCACGGATAAAAAATTTTTTTTTATTTAACACATTTCTGGTTGTTTAATAAGTTTATATAATTATAGTTGTTAAACTATAGACAAAAATAATATATAGCCGTCAATAGCAGTACTGGTTGCCATGGAAACCGCGAAAAGGTGTGAAAACTATCACCTTTTCAAATCGCTATGGCTTTGTTCCCATAAGAGATTTTAAAAAGCGGATGAAAGATTTAGATTTCTCAAACCAAACTATACATTTCTACGTTTACTCATTGCGATAGCTTGTACTCAATTTTTAATACAAATTTTTACGTAAATTTATGTACAAAAATTAGGGGGTGGTGTTACAAAAATATCAATATTTCCTTAAGTATTGTAGTAAACTTAATGTACAAACGTAGTTTTGTAGATGGTATCATGTTGAATGCACGTGGAATGTTTTATTCTTGTATGACAAAGGGTTCCAAAGCCTTAGCGATTTGAATGTTGAATTTTGAGTAAAAATGCAAAGTTGAGAAAACGTGAAAAGAAGAGCGGGAAAAGGCACGGTGCGTTTTCTCTTATAGAAAACAGAAAAAAACGTCTTGTTATATGTGGAAGAACCATTTGTCTAATAACATACGCTTTGATTTGGTAAACGGAAAAAAAGTCACAGGAAAAAAAAACACAGAAAAAAAGTCACAGTTTTTGCTAGGAAAAAAAGTCACAGAAAAAAAGTCACAGTGGAAACATTTTATCGGAAAAAAAGTCACAGAAATAAAGTCACAGAAAAAAAGTCACAAAAATCTTTTTAGAAATATTTTTTATTAATGTGTTAAGAATTGTAAAATTTTGTATGTTTATTGTTGTGGGTTGTATTTTTTGATAGCATAAATTATTTATAGACGTTAAAAGCATTATGATTTATAACAATTGTAAGTAAAAATACTCTAAGAAAATTTACACAACAATCTCAACTGTTGTCACGTATTTAGTTAAATACGCGGTAGAAAAGTTAATTATAAAAGAAATGTAGGCACATTTTGCCGTAGGCTATTCTCTGGTCGGCCTCTCCTCAGTAGGCATTGTCCGAATATATTTTGTGTTGTTGACGTTACGCGTCAATGACAGCCTTTGAACCTTTTCGGCTTTCTGTTTTGATCCTAAGTTTTGTTATGTAATGAGCGTGATAAATGTGGGCAGTAAAGGTGGCTGAACTAAACATAACTATTGTTGCCATGAGTTGAGGGCAGCAAGTCAGATGAACTTACCATTTCACGGTAATTTAATATTGGTATTTAAAAAAAACCACACGATGAAAACCGTGGACTTTGGAGCATTCTATTAAATGCTACTAATCTTAAGTTAAAATAATTACAATCTACATACTTCATAATAAATATTTTAAGATGAATTATAAAAATTCCTATGCGTATACAGCCTACACATTACATTACATTTAATTAATCCTAAGTTAATTTGCACTCTTAAAATATTTAATACATAAAAGTATTAACAAATATCATGCAAATATACATTTGTGACTTTTTTTCCTGTGACTTTTTTTCCTGTGACTTTTTTTCCTGTGACTTTTTTTCTGTGTTTTTTTTTCCTGTGTTTTTTTTTCCTGTGACTTTTTTTCCTACAATCTTTGATTTATGTTGTAAGTTTTAGACAGATTTTTTCTATGTAAGCAGAAAATATGTATACAACAGGTAATGAATGTATGACTATTAAGTATTACACATCATATCAATCGAGCGGTATTCTCAGAACAGCTATCTTCAAACCAGATCAAGTTTTGTTTGTTAGCCGGTCTTCTCACTTCAAAATAATGTCTTTCTCTACTCAAATTTTAGCTTACACAAGTTTATTGCCTTATGATAATAGCCTACAACACAACACTGGGTACAACGCTTGAGGCTAGACACGCCCCCTCCACCCCACCCCACCGCTGGATAGTGCGTGAAGAACCGATGAGCCATAGATTACCAATGTTCATTCAACCGCGAATAACACATCTGTGTAGATAGGGTCAAGTACAGGGCCTAAGTGAATGCTTCTCAGCTATCCTATCTAGTATTTACATTCGTTGCTACCACACCCTATACGGAGAGATGGGCATACACATTAACACATGTGTCGTATACAGTCCGGTGTAAAGCCTGATGAACACGTTCAAGCCTATCACAGCATGCCGTAACTAGATTATAAACCGGCCGTTGGTTGAATGGCGAGAAGGGAATGAAGGGGGTAAAGGGGATGGACAGTACATTCTTCAAACTGATAGTCATGTCCATGTCGCATTGTTTCAGCTTAGTATAAAGCGTACGAAACAGTGTTTAATATTGTTCCAGTGATAATCAACAGTGCATTTCTAGGCCACGTTTCAATTACTAAACTTAATGTTGTACTATAACTTTAAAACAACAAATAGAAGAGTATACGCAAATGAGGTAAACAAACGAGACAGGCGATTGTTTTGTTTATCTAGAAACAAGATGGCTGCCTAGCACACGTGGTTAGTTGCAGCCTATCGTGAATTATTTTTATTTACTGTACTATAATATGATTGGTCAAGCGTATCAATGAATCTCTTCCCATTCATAATTTTTACGCGCATGCCCTTATATGGAGTTTGATATAAAATTTTACTTTGTAGAAAACAACTTCTATCTCACTTATTTTTAGAACAAAAGAAAAGGTCACTACACCAGCGGGACACGAGTGCTTGGCCCTTAGATTGCTTTAAAGTTTATGGTGTCTCGCGGGCCATAAATACATGTAATACCCGTTCGAAGATAGCCGCTGTCCGCGTAGTAGTGTGAAAACTTGCCGGGGGGTACCATGTTTCACATCGCAATAAACGGATAACCGTAAGCTGTAGAAGTCCGAAATGTTCGGGTTAGATAGATAAAAGGTATTAGTATCGAATTAAGAAATAAAAATTTTGGGGAGCAAAATTACAATTTTATCGAAAACATGGGTATCTTGTTCCCTTAAATTTGATGTTGAGGTGGTGATTTTGGTTTTAGTTCAGAGAAAAGAGACAACACTATCAACAGACCATTTATCTTGTATTAGAATAAAGAACAAAGAAAGATGACGCAACAATCTTATCTCAACGCTGGTTGAGACGTCCACGTAGAGTGGTTAAACGATGAACTGGAGCTGTCTGATGCGGTGGCGAACAATGACGCAACATTCCGTCGCTGTGACCTTGGACGATTGGATTTTCTACCTTTTGTATGTGGCGACGTATGTACGTAGCTGGCGATCTGTTGTTAGATAACCCCAGTGTGGGGGCGATACGGTGGCGTCTTGACCAGGGCAATTCACTGTTCAGCAGGTCTGTCCGCTGTCCAGGTAATTCAACGTAATCAGGGCTTCAGGTGGCGGCACTCTTTGAAGTGTCTGCTTCATCCTGTCTCATTCTGTGTAAGCGTTGGTGGGTCTGAAAATTGTATTACGAGACTATGAGCAATGGTTTAACGTGAACAATTTAGTGCCCGCGCAGACAAGTATTCAGACAGAGGTACCTTCCATTAAATAAAAACCACAATCCCAAATTTAAGCGTGATGAACACTTGTCTGGCGGTACATACAGCATACAAAAATAATATTACAAAATAACTAAATAAAAATAGTACACTCTGAACAACAATCTGTAAAGCATAATAAACCCAAAAGACGTAAACACTACTAGAGCTAAGAGATAGATTCACAAAAAGAATAGACATGTAAGTGTATATCAATAATATCGTGTCATTCAAATCAACATTTCGACACGTAATCATATAGTGGAGCAGCTCTCACTATGTGACTTCTGACATGACTAAAACTGACTGTCTGGTTTGACTTAATGACTAACTTCACTATTGACTTCAGTAATTTGACTGACTTCACTTTGACTTCACTAACTTAACTGACTTCAATTTAACGACTGATTTCACTCTGATGACTAACTTGACTGGCTTCATAGACATCACTGACTGACCTCGACTTTAATATGACTTCAATGACTTAACTTCTTCGCTTTGACTTCAAAAACTTCATTTTGGCTTCAAAGACTTTATTAACTGATTTAACTGACTTCAAATGATTTCTTTGACTTCAGTTTTGACTTTATTAAATTCACTGAATTCAAATACTCTATTGACTTCAGTTTTGACTCTATTTACTTCACTGACTTCAATAACTCAATTGACTTCAGTTTTGACTACACTGACTTCACCTTACTTCTGACTGTATCGACTTCGCGCCGATTTTCTCGACTTAGATTCACAAACTCGACTTAACTTCAACTATAAGGTCCGTTATTCAAAATCATTAGTGGAGGCGATCCGGGTAACATTCTTGGTTATGGGGTTGGTGTTCTAGGGCAGTTGCGTGTTATCTATTTGCTGTACTTTCAGTTTCACTAATTCTATCACTAACTCCGCTTTTGTTCTTGACATTTCTTACTATCCTGTTTCCTAATTTACTCTTTACAGATGCTTCTACTTCTTCTTCTGTCCTGTTAAATGCTTTGCCCTGTTCATAGTATTCCAACTCTGCCTCCATGGTTGTGTGTTTGTGTCGAGGAATGTCACAAAACTAAGAAAACAGGGCGTAACAACAGAGTGTATAAGGCAGAAAAACCGCTGGCACAAGCTATCCAGCACGGTCTAAACCCACACGTTTAAAAAAGTTTAGGAAGATACTTATCTTTTTGAACATGTTGCACTGTGTAAATAATCTACTTGTTGGTGATCCAAAAATCTGTCCAACTGAAAAAAAACCGCAGTTGTGATGATTTAGAGAAAGCTATACATCAGGTGTACTCTGTCATGAGTATCTGATATACTTTCTTTCTCGTTCCGCAGCTCTACCAGTTGTGAGGATGGGAGTGATGTGATGATCTTCCGTCAGTTATGAGGGTGGGGAAATGCAGCACCACCAAATGTGAGAGTGGGGGTGAGGAGAATTCAACACACAAGTTCAAGTCAAAATATATTGTTCTTTATTAAAATTTACACAATCAACTCTTCTACCCTATCTAACTAGTCCATACTACATTTTTCTAATACTACTAATAACTACGCATGACCAATCCTAAAACTACATAACTCTAATTCTCTACATCTCTACCCTGACGCTACCTATCTCTAGCTCTCTAAATATTTCTGTCCGTTCTCCTACCCTACCTATCTCTAACTACCTGGCCTAACTGTAGAGCCATGCTTCAGTGTTCAGCTGACCGTACCACATGACCAATCAGCTTCTGTATTTCATTGGTCTCTTTAACCAACTAACTATAGCCTGTTTCTATTAACTTCTTCTACTTGATCTATCCGACCTAAACTAGCGTCATCACAAGCTCCCCTTTACTTATCAGCACGCAATCCAAAGAAAAACAAATACTATCTTTAAGTATGTCAACTCGTAACTTTACTGTATTATGATTGCATGAAAACAACATGAAATAATGGAATATTATTACATTTACTATCAGTACCTTGGATTAACTGCTCCATTAAAAACCCGTTGATCAGAGTTTCTTCCGGGTATTTCCCCGAAAAATATCTACCGTCCCACGAACGAAATGGAATGTACAAATTCTTATACTAGTGTCCGCCGCCCGGAAATTTTAGTGCGCACCCCTCTTCCCTAAAATGTCAAGTGCCCCCCCCCCCCCTGGTGAAAATATGTGGAAGTAACACTGCCTTTGATCTATTCTGGTGACCGTCAAAAGAGCGCACGACAAAAGAGCGCCGACATAAGAGCGCAGACAAAAGAGCGCCGACATAAAAGCGCCGACATAAGAGCGCACTAATTTGCCGACAAAAGAGCGCCGACATAAGAGCGCAAACTAAAGATCGAAAAACCATATTTAATAAATAGGAACAAGAAAATTAACGCAGATCAGAAGGTATTGTTTGATGTCAACTTTTTATTGTTTCATTAAAAACTAATTGTTCAGTTTCTTTAACTAAAAAACTGGTATTGACGATTAATATTATCTATTGTTCCGAACATCATCATTCGGTAAATGTTAGTCGGTCCGGAATCCCACAAGACGAAATTTTGCCCTCTTGTTGTCGTTTGAAGAGGTTCAGGAATTGTTATCCCTGCAACGTTCTGCGGATTTGGGTATGGCAGCTGCTTGTGTTTTCTCTGTCTTTCTATTGCACGTTGTGAAGCGACGTATGCCGGCAAATGAGGTGCTACTTCCATCGAATTTCCTGTTCTGGCTTGTTGTATAATCTGCCTTGGTTTTTCCAACCCTTCAACTGCCCGTGTTCGTATAGCCCAGGGGTCTCCAAACTACGGCCCGCGGGCCGTATGCGGCCCGCGAGGTCCTCACATCCGGCCCGCTAAGATCTTTTTGTCCACGCAAAAAACATTTGTTGGTAATAGCTGAGGAACTTTTCCCAGAAAAATGAAAGACATGTCTGGAAGAAACTGGCCCCCGAACTGAACTTTGATAGTCAATGCGGCCCTCGGGCTGAAAAGTTTGGAGACCCCTGGTATAGCCGAACAACTTTCGCAGCTTCAATTTCAGCTGGATCAGGAGCATGATTGTGTTATGATAATGACAGAAAAACATCGTTCAGCATTTTCATCCGTCCTCGGCAGCCATCTTTCATTCAGGATCTCCATGTCGTACTTCCATCAGCATATGCTCTTTCCTTTCGAGATCTGTAGCCTTAGACCAATATAATAACCTTCCCTTTCTTTGATTCGATCTTGTCAATGTCACTTGGGATAGAAGTATTTTCAAACTACATTCATAACATATTATAATAATATATCAATAAACACATGTCGTTTTATCGTACCGCCGATTGTTTAATTGAAACAAGTGTTAATGATGTCATATTCGTTTAGCATACAACATGTGTTTTTTAATTGACTGCGCTCTTACGTCGGCGCTCTTTTGTCTGCGCTCTTATGTCGGCGCTCTTATGTCGGCGCTCTTTTGTTTGCGCTCTTATGTCGGCGCTCTTTTGTCTGCGTTCTTATGTCGGCGCTCTTATGTCGGCGCTCTTTTGTTTGCGCTCTTATGTCGGCGCTCTTTTGTCGTGCGCTCTTTTGACGGGGTGCCATCTATTCTAATAGCTTACCTCCATCGAGTTCCAGAGATAATAAATTAGCCAATCATATCGATAGCGAACGACGTGTTTCACATATATTGGGAGTATTATCTCTTTATTTGGAAGTATCGATTACATTGCATTTAACTACAATTAGAATCTATTTTTAAATAATAAATACAAGTAAACGTAATTATGTTGGGTAGGAGTCAAAACACAATGTTGTTTCAAACATAATTACATAGATAATACTTATTCATCTATTCACTTAATTTGCCCAATCATCAACGTTAATAACACTTATTTTTACTTTCTCGTATACGAAGTATAGAGAAAATACTGTAATCGGGAACAAAAAAAAATAGTTTTGCAATCTTGTCCGTATGTCTTTGTGTGTGTATATCTGTATGTGTGTGTGTTTGTGTGTGTACGTGTGTGTGTATGTGTGTGTCTGTCTGTCTGTAATCACGATAACTTGAGTACCGTTACAGCTGGTTGAAGAAATTTCATACATAAGTATTTTATTAATTTTTTTAGTTCTGTGTCAACTTTTCTCCGAAAACTTTTTCTATTTTCAATTTTTCAAAAGCCTATCACTTGAGTACTATTTCAGAGAGATATATTAAATTTCACACGTAAGTTAAAGATCTAAATCTCTGCTTTCTGTCAAATTTTGATTAATTTCCGTTGACCGGCAGTAGTAATTTAGGCTATTTCCGATTTCTCAAAAAGCGCATTAGAATGTATAAAGTACTAATAATATTAGTTCTGCTGTATGGAGCAGAGACATGGAGAGTCTCCAAGGCAAGCACAGCAAACATACAGACCTTCATGAATAGATGCCTTAGACGGATACTGAAACTGAGATGGCAGGACAAAGTGCCGAACTTGGAACTATGAAGGAAAGCTAGGAAGGAGCCTATAGGTGTGCAAATAAGAAGGAGGAAGTGGGTGGGTCACACACTGCGAAAGGCTCACACAAATGTTACACGCCAAGCGCTTGAGTGGAACCCCCAGGGAAAGCGGAAGAGAGGGCGCCCAAGACAGACCTGGAGGCGGAGTCTTCTTGAAGAACTGAAGCCAATAGGGATGTCTTGGGAGATGTCAAAATTAATAGCCGAGGATAGGAAGAAATGGAAGGAAATGGTGGAGGCTGTGACCTACTTAGGTCTAGTAATGTTTATTTTTACATTTTGTTATAATACCATATATGGTCTGTGGTGCAATGACCGGTTTTTTCCGCTGTCATACTAAGAGAGTCTTAGACTCAGAAATTTTCCATCAAGATATGATTGATTGATTCAGACCAGATGACCACCCCAACCAATGGCCTTATGATTTGAAGGTGACCTTCCTAAGTCTATAAATTGACTGCGCACAGGCGTCTCGAGGCAGTTCATTGACCAGACGTCGTTGAGAGACATAAGCCCTGTGTGTTGCCGTGTAGTACTAAGATGTTTAAGTAGCATATTCTTATATTACTTGTGGTTAAGTAATTCTTTATGCTTATAGCAGTGATGTGTATACTGTGGTGATTTTGCTGAAGTGTTAAAAGCTGTGATAGTGTATCATATTATTTTTTCCCACGAATTGTAAGTTGGGTTTTGTTCATTCTGTAAATCTATTTTATTCCTGTATACATCTAGTGTGCTGCCACGACTTTGTACACTCATTACAAATTATATGCAGATTAAATGATTTGTTAGCATCAGTAGTTTCTCTAGTGTTTCCCCTAGACATCAATTACGAGTCCTAGCGAACTAGTGTGTTAACTTTCTTTTATTTAGGCTTGTCGCCATCTGTGTATAATCAGTTAAACGAATCCGGGAGCGTTCGCCAACTAACTGGCTGATAGATTGTTGTCCGTTACAAGGCCCTATGCTCCATAAGGAGCAAAGAGGACTAACTAACTAACTAACTAATAATATTGCGCACTATTATACACAATTTGTTTGGTGTTCACTTGGTGCGCAATTCTTTTTTCTACGAGATTCTGTTATATTTTTAAAAGTTTAAGTAATTAAAAAGGATTAAAAATATTGTATATATCCCGAGTTACCATCCCCCGTAGTTTTATAAAAGAATATTTGAGAAAGTTTAGGGGAGATCATTCCCGGTTTATTTTAAGGGTTTTAAAGCCACCCTAGGCTACTGTACTGTAACCCATTAGAATAAGCACCAAGGTGTACATGTGTAGATGACCCGTACCCCAGCCTGTACACATAAGCACCAATACTACCCGGGCATGTAGCTGTAGTGTAGGTGTATCTGGTCCAAACATCTCCTACATGACCTCGATCCACCCAGTGACCTACAGAGACCTGCTTAGAACAGCCATGAGGATGTGACACTATAATGGTCAGCTTGTCCACTTCTCTACGACTCGCGTATTTTTCATCTACCTTTTCATTAATGTAGTCATACCGCCGCATCATCTCCTCAAGTTTATGTCCTACATCTACGTCATGTGTCGCACAAAACAACAAACACCTGTCACTTTTAATATCTAGCATCCACCCACCCACCTTCCACCCATAAATCTTGACCACTGGACTTTTATTATCATCAAACCACAACCTACAGATGGACTGTCTCGCCTCACTCTCATCAAAAACTACATGTCTGGCCGTCACCACACAAACCTCCCACCACACTTTGCTGGGTGTGTCCGAGTGGTCACATTCAGGACATGGACAACATTTGTAGCTTGGCATCCCCTCTGTGTACTTTGTGACACGCTCCACCCTCCCAGTCCCTATATGCAATGATTTATGTCCCCTGGGGTTGTAGCAAGGATACGGAACTTCAGTATCTGGTACAAACTCTGGTCTCTCTGGACAGGAGAACCTAACGGCTATCCTGACAGTTAGGTCAGCCAGGGCTTTAACTAGTTGAACTAGCTCGTTGTCATGGTAACCAGATGGGAGATATTGAGTGTCAAATTGATTAATGGGAATAAATAACCCGTGTACTGTATTATTTTTACAACTGCTTGAATAAAATTTTAAGCAAGGGCCTTTAACATTATTCTCGTCTTCAGTATTTCGTTCTGTTTCGAAGTCATCTGTAAAAAAAACTCTTTTAATGATTACGTAAATTATATTGCAACTTAGGTTCTCTCTGATTTTACAAACATTCATCGAGTGATTTATACTACTACAAAACTCACCGTTAGATAACTTGATTTGATCAGGCATTTCCGTCTCTGTAGTTGTATCTTTGTTTGCATCTGTTTTAAATAACTATAACATTTTTAACATTTTATTATTGGGTGTCATTATAAATGTTTCCTTTAGAATAATCATAGGTCGTAAGTTCAATTAATGTATGGGCACTTTTAAAAAAAAATTAAAGGATGATCCACACACGATTTTACATTAATATCAACAGATTTTCTAACCTCCCCTTTCCTACCCAAGGATTGTACCGTCGTGTATCTACAACACCTAACATTACTTAAATTGTTGTTACTTACCTGCCACAAAATGTTCTTTAATTAACTCCCTTGATGTAGGACGTTCCTCTGGATTTGATTTGAACGTGGAATTTAAAAACAACTTCAAATTTTCAGACGAAGCGTCTGGAAGTCTAAACTGAGCTGTTGGGTTGGTCGCCATGTGTATGATGACCCTGGTTGGTCGCCATGTGTATGATGGGTTGGTCGCCATGTGTAAGATGACCCTGGTTGGTTGCCATGTGTATGATGACCCTGGTTGGTTGCCATGTGTATGATGACCCTGGTTGGTTGCTGGTCAGGAAAAGGTGGGGACCCAGTGACCATCTCTACCACTGTAGCCCCTACACTCCTGTGGGAGGTCAAACAAGGCAGTGCATGTTTAAATGTTTCTTTATTCAGATAGGAGATAACATAACCATAACAGTGACACGAGATAATAACACAATGCTTTACTGACCATATGTCGACTTTAAAATCATAAGGTTTCTCATTAATTATCTCAGGCGCCATCCATTTGACTGTCCCCATCTCTGATGTGTTGGTTGTTTGGTTTCTCAGAATTTTAGAAATTCCAAAATCTGCCAGCTTTATTTTTAAGTCTTGGTCCAACAAAATATTAGCACCTGTACAGAAAACGTATGGCATACAACACTGCTACAACAACACGAGGTGAGAAACGATGTATGTGTGACATTATTAAAAAAGATGTGGTTTAAGCTGATAAACTGTTCACATTTAGATTGGGACAAAAATTAAATTGACCAACCAGTATCTGAGTTTAGTTTATATAAAACATGAGACATTATGTTCACATGTATTGTGTACTAGCACGTCAAATGCCAGTGTATGATAGAAATCCTCTCACCTTTAATATCTTTGTGACAGAAATGATCATATCTTTAATATCCCTGTTTATAATAGAAACTCTCTCAACTGTAATATACCTGTATGCTAGAAATTCCCTTACCCTTAATATCCCTGTTTATAATAGAAACTCTCTCAACTGTAATATACCTGTATGCTAGAAATTCCCTTACCCTTAATATCCCTGAGCATGATAGAAATGACCTCACCTGTAATATCCCTGTATAATAGAAAATCTCTCACCTTTAATATCCCTATGTATGATTAAGTTATCATGGAGATAAATTAAGCCTTTTAAAATTTGATAAGTAAACAGTGACGTTGTTTCTTCACTTAGAACGCCATTTTCCTCAACAAATTTCACTGTACAATTCTTTGCTAATTTTTTCTTTGGTTCTCCAGTAGTAGCATCCATGTGTTCTACACATTTCTCTTCTATTTCCTTCTTTTTCTCTTCTATGTAATCTTTTAATGAGCCCTAGTGAAAAATACAACGTTACCCATGATCTATAACTTTGAACAAATATAATATGCATGTGTGTGTGTTTGTGTGTGTATGTGTGTGTGTGTGTGTGTGTGTGTGTGTAAACGAAAAACACATTTAGATAAGATTGAATACAGTAGCCGAGTTCAAAAAAGCAAATAATATTCACATTTCGTATTTAATTTTAAGAGAAATATCTATAAATAAACAAGGTCTAAACTAAGATAGAAAATTACTGTATAGTCTAAAACTAAAAACCTTTTTTATCATTTTACCTTCTGCATGTACGGCAAAAATATCAAGACTGATTTATTCTCAAACTTACAGCCGTAGAACTGCACGATGTGTTGGTGATGAAGTGCACTCAAGATGGCGACCTCGACGCGTAGCCTGTCAGCGTTCTGTGGGAGAGTTTCTGTGTGGTAATGATGGTGTGTTGAACGTGTATGTGGTTAGTGTAAAGATGGTGTGTATGTAGTTAGTGTAATGGTTAAGTGTATGTGGTTTGTGTAATGGTGGTGTGTATGTGGTTAGTGTAATGGTGGTGTGTATGTGGTTAGTGTAATGGTGGTGTGTTGAACGTGTATGTGGTTAGTGTAAAGGTGGTGTGTATGTAGTTAGTGTAATGGTTAAGTGTATGTGGTTAGTGTAATGGTGGTGTGTATGTGGTTAGTGTAATGGTGGTGTGTATGTGGTTAGTGTAATGGTGGTGTGTTGAACGTGTATGTGGTTAGTGTAAAGGTGGTGTGTATAAAGTTAGTGTAATGGTGGTGTGTATGTGGTTAGTATAATGGTGGTGTATAAAACGTGTATGTGGTTAGTGTAATGGTGGTGTGTATGTGGTTAGTGTAATGGTGGTGTGTATGTGGTTAGTGAAATAGTGGTGTGTATGTGGTTAGTGTAATGGTGGTGTGTATGTGGTTAGTGTAATGGTGGTGTGTATGTGGTTAGTGTAATGGTGGTGTGTATGTCATTAGTGTAATGGGGGTGTGTTGAATGTGTATGTGGTTAGTGTAATGGTGGTGTGTATGTGGTTAGTGTAATGGTGGTGTGTATGTATTTAGTATAATGGTGGTGTGTATGTATTTAGTGTAATGGTGGTGTGTATGTGGTTAGTGTAATCGTGGTGTGTATGTGGTTAGTGTAATGGTGGTGTGTATGTGGTTAGTGTAATGGTGATGTGTATGTATTTAGTATAATGGTGGTGTGTATGTGGATAGTGTAATGGTGGTGTGTTTGTGGTTAGTGTAATGGTGGTGTGTATATGGTTAGTGTAATGGTGGTGTGTACGTGGTTAGTGTAATGGTAGTGTGTATGTAATTAGTGTAATGACAGTGTGTATGTGGTTGGTGTAATGACAGTGTGTATGTGGTTGGTGTAATGGCAGTGTGTATGTGGTTAGTGTAATGGTGGTGTGTATGTGGTTAGTGTAATGGTGGTGTGTACGTGGTTAGTGTAATGGTGGTGTGTATGTAATTAGTGTAATGACAGTGTGTATGTGGTTAGTGTAATGACAGTGTGTATGTGGTTGGTGTAATGACAGTGTGTATGTGGTTAGTGTAATGGCAGTGTGTATGTGGTTAGTGTAATGACAGTGTGTATGTGGTTGGTGTAATGACAGTGTGGTCAGTGCAAGGGCAGTCTGTTTAGGCATTTAAAGGGTTTGTGGACGGCGTTTGTTTAGCAGTTCATTTATTTCACAATGTCTATGGTCATTACTGCCGGCCGACATCCAAAAGGCCGACAAGAAATAAGGCCGACACGGACACAAGGCCGACATGGACAAAAGGCCGACAGCCAAAAGGCCGACAGGACATAAGGCCGACAGGAAATAAGGCCGACAGCCATAAGACAGACAACCATAAGGCCGACAGACCAATATGCGGACGAACCATAAGGCCGACAAGCATAAAAAATACTAATATCGCAAAAGCTGTGTTACTGCATAACTCATATCTTGACAATGATCGAAATAAAGCATGGAAAAGGGTGAAACGTGCAAGTTTAACCATCTGGTCAAGCGACTGAAAATTACGGGTGTGTCTTAAATTCAAGGATCAACACCTAGATATTGCGAAAAGCTGTCACTGCTGTCTTTCATAGCTCCTTCTATACAATCGAGGTGAGATAACCATCATAGAACCAAGTCAAAAGCCGCCGGCATCATCGCCCACATGCAATAAGACGGAACGCCAAGAGACAATGCTAGTTGCGATCCTTATAAGGTGAACAATGGGGTCCATGCGACTGGAGATGACGGGAGTGTACAAAGAATAAACAGACAGGTGGCGCATATTTCGCAAAGAATTCAAAGAAACAGAATGAAGTAGAACAATCGTGTGCCTTGACTAGACTACATGTTTAACACAGACAAAATTTGAATTATATTTTAGTTTCGTACATTGCGAATTGCGTGAAAAAAATTGTATATTATATTCGTTGTATTCATTAATTCTGTTGTGATTGTGATACAAATGTGCCGAAATTGGTGCGTTATTTTTTTGTGTGTAAACTTACCCCTGTGATTTCCCTATATATGGACCAATATATCAGCAACAAATAATTGGTTACATCGTGTGTTTTATTTTATCCTATTGTATGTACCTAAGGAAATTTATTAGAAACTTAAAAAGTCGTATATAATTACATATTTTAGATATTAAACATGGGTGAAATTGTAGTTTGTTATTTATAAAACTTGTCGGCCTTTTGTCTTGTCGGCCTTTTGTCCGTGTCGGCCTTTTGTCCATGTCGGCCTTTTGTCCGGATCCCATAAAACAATTAATCAGCTTTTCTAATCATCCCACCTATTTTATTTTAATTTCTGGTTGCGATTGATGGAATAATCTATATAATATATTAAAATGATCCGTAACAGAAAATATATTCCGTGTAAGAATGTATTGTATGACTTCCAAAGCTGAGAAATAGAAATGTTTCTCGTTTTTCTAATTAAGTTTCACTATTATTCATTTTCTATGTAAATATGTATTTCTTTTTTTTTAAAGTTAGGATGTGCGTATGTATGCTTGTTATCAGAAGGGTTAGATTTTAAAATCTGCTATAAGCCAATTGTTAAAATATACATTATGAGCCGACCCGCGGTGTATCATATGCCGCTATTAAGTTATCTTATTTTCTACTTTTCAGTAATTCATAATTTGTGTATTGGACAGTATCAACTCTGCCACTGAAAATATTTGCTTTTAAACACTATCAAGGACGATAACCCCCCCCCCCCCCGCCCCGTGAAAGCAGCCTCCTCTTAGTTACCTCCCTGTTACGGTTAGGTTGCTGTGTGAGAGGGTTTGATTCACTTGACTCAGCCAACTACCATTTCGCTCGTCTCCAATACCAGGGAGAGAGTATTAAACCTTGAGAACCACTAAGGCTGTATTACGTTCAGACAGATCAACGACGTTTGAAAATAAGATAAACCAAGTAATCCTTGTACAAATCTTTTATTCTTGTATCTACATATGTCTATCTTCCTAAACCCTATCTCTCGACTTGAGTCACGCCAACCAACACACGTCCTTTCACACCGACGATCTAGATTCAACTGCTCACACATAAACTCATAGCAACCAACTCTCTAACCTAAACGTCACTATCTTTCGTACCGCGTCATCATACCCATGCGTTCACTATGTTCTCCGCACCAACCTGCATTCAATTCAATACCTACTAAAACATACATCATAACACTCCCCTAAGTTTAAAATCGTTTCAAACTAAATTATCTGCCCCTAATAGCCGTCACTAAGCCCGGCTCTACGACTGTAAACATTTAGCATGAACCACAGCTTACCAGACCACGTGGGCGTGGGGGTGGTAGGGATATGCCTAGATAGGAAGAGAGGGGACTGCTAGGTGCGCTTACAAATTAGTGTTTTCTATGGTTTCCAAGAAGAGAATTATATATATAGATTACTAGAATAATTTATAAACAGAAAAGCAAAAGTTTTTAACATATGTTTTCCTACTTGTTTGCTCTCTTCCAAGAGAATTTCTTTGATGACAAAATCTTTTCTCTCAGGATGTGCAGGATCTTCTAGTAAAACAACACGACCAAAACTACCAGCGCCTACAACCTCACCAGGTCTAAACTTTGCGGGGATGTGATGTATTTCATCTAGAATGGTGTTAAATGTAAAAATGTAAAATCAATAAATATATAATAGGATATGTTACGTTTTGCTGGAAGGTTTAGTACACTACAGAAAAAACTGCTCACAATGTTTAAAGTAAGATATTTAAAAATCAATTAAACATTTTTTTAAATTACAGAACTTAGAATAATTATGTACACAACCCTTATTTTAATTCTGTTCGGTACTTTAAAACTTACAATGAAATAATTTATCCATCTTCCAATAGAAAAAAAAACTTGTTTCTGTTGATCTCATGAACCTAATAAGTGCAGAAAGATAGGTGCTCATTAAAATTCTTTTCTCTTGTAGTTCAGTACTTTTGAAACATCAAATCGTTTGGACATTGGCAGAGGCGTAGCGAGGGGGGGGGGGATATATCCCCGGGCGACGACCCAAGGGGGCGCCAAAATGGGTTGGAAAACAAATCAAAAGCTCATTTTAGCTGCAGTTTTGCATTATTAATAAATTCAAAATTAAAAATTGGTCCCGGGGGGGGGGGGGGGGGGGGCAAATTGAAAGATTGTCCCCGGGCGCTGGGAAGGGTCGCTAAGCCTCTGGATATTGGTGTAATATTTCTAAGTTACCTAAATAGTTAATGTTATAGAATCTATTAAAAATACACGTATAGAAAAATCGATAATATGTGTATTTAAAAATTACACATGTGTGGGTGTATGTGTGTGTGAGTAGGGGCGCCGCCCTTGCACAATTAAAAATATATATTTTTACGAAAACCTCCGCTAAAGTGTTCTAATCAAATCCCCAAAGTTTAATAGCGATCAGATGAACGGTGTCAAACCGCAATCGTCTTTTATTTTTATATACTTAACCCGTCCCGGAGCGTTGCCGCGGGAACGGAAGAAAGTATGAATTAATATCTTAAGTGGGTTTCATCATTGCGTTACTAATCCTATATTCTTAGACGTGTGATCTAGTTTTCTAAAACAATGCCTTCGCTTGGATTATATATATCTGGGCATGGGTTTACCTACAGTACCGCATGAAAGCCTTGAATGCACGTTAATCACTAAACGTAATAGTGAGGTAGACTATAGTGACCGCCCTAGTGCCAGGGCGTAGAGGAGCGCTCTCGGGAGCACAAGATTACATTACCGCAGGAGCGTCGCGGACTGCCATTGGCTCCTTAAAACTAACACCGGCGCATGGTGCTCACAAGATAACACAGAGCGCAAAATAATACCCTGCCGGGACGCCGGCGAACTCGCATGATTCAATTTAGTGAGCGACGATAACGACCCATCTTATCCATTATCTATCACACTGTTTAGAACGAATGTAGGCGCCATTGCACACAAGGGAAAGCGAAAGGCGCCAAAACGAACCATGCAGGAGCGCCGGATGACACGCCTGATTCGATATAGTCAACGATTATTGTTGCCCACCTTTAGAGTATAACAATTTTTTTTTTAAAACTAACGTGAGCGACATAGTACTCGTATGGGAGCCCGGGGTGCTTCGGGTCTCGCAATCCACGGGGCGCTTGTTGCAGAATATAGTAGTATCCCTTACCCGTTAAACAGGACGCCCGATTCACGTATCCCAAGTGCCATCATAGCCGCTCTAGAACTCTTGGTGCCAGACTGTGTTTTTTATGAAACTCGCAACCCCCGGGCGCTGCCCTTAAGAAACTTTTATGTGTCCTTTCACAAAAATCTTCTCGGGATGTTCTCATCAACTCCCCAAAGTTTCATAGTGATTGATTGTACGGTGTCAAAGAGCAATCGACTTTTTTAATAGATATACCGTATATAGAGATGAATCTAATCGCGCCTTGTCGGGGCACCACCCCTGCGAATTTGAAAATCCGCAGGAGTATTCTGAACAACTTCCCAAAGTTTCATGTTGATGTGATTAAAGGTGTAGTAATCCATAAAAGACAAACATACACATGCACACACATACATTGCTTTTTTATATTTATAGACTAGCGTACCCGCCGGAATAAAAGAAAGTGCGAAATTTATAAGAAGGGATTTATCAATACGTTACCAATCTTACATTGTTAGACGCGTGATCTTGTTTTATAAAAGTCAGTATTCAAATGTAAACAATACCTGCGCTTGGATAAAAAAATCGGGAAATGTGTTCACCTACATTACCGAATAAAAACCAGGAATGTACGTTAATCACTCACCGAAATAATGAAGCAAAACACACTTCGGCGACCGCTCAAATCTCAGGGACGTAGAGGGACTTGAGCATACCTAACTTTCACTCTCCCGCTAAATCGCTCACACTGCAATCTTTCGTCAACCCCCCCTCACCCACACACACTATAAATAATAACGCCTGAGCAGTTAGATCACACAGCACAGAATTTGACGCTTGGCTTGCCTTTAATACACACCACTACCCTATCTATGCCTCGTCAGACACTTCTACCCCTCCCCCTCTGTCCACTTCCCCCTCAGACATGATAACTCCACATCCGCTTTAACTGTTCCTACGACCCCACCACCCACCCCAACATTAGTTTCGAATATCTATTCATTTACTTACTTAAAGTTCTAAATCTTGCTTCTTTCCCCTTATCTTTCACACAGCAACCTTTTGAAAACTCAACGCGACAAGTATATAAATAAAGACTCTTTCATCTGGTCAACATAATTTGTTTCTCTACATAGAAAATGCTTCACTGTCCCATTGACTCTCCCCAACACCCCCCCCCTCTTTCAACAATTTCCTCTCCACTCCCCACCCGGACTCCTGACACTTTCATTTGACCTTCACCCCTTTTACTGTTATCCCTTTCAATTTTGTATAATCACACACATGACATACTTTTATTTGCAATTAAAACAAGTACATCAACATCACATTTTTTACATAGTTTCAGATGAAAACGAAAGGTTTTGAACATGTACATAATGAATATTTACATGATGTCATGTATATGATTATAACAAAAATTACAAAAGATGGCAGTAAAAGGGATGGAGGTCCAATAAAAGTGTCAGAAGTCTGGGTGGGGAGTGGAAAGGATATTTTTCCGAGAATGACAAAGGGCCAGTGGAGCATTTTCAATGTAGGGAAACAAATTAAGTTGACTAGTTAAAAGGGTGTTTATTTATGTACTGGTCGCATTGAGTTTTCAAAAGGTTGCTGTGTAAAAAATGAGGGGAAAGAAACAAGATTTAGAACTTTAAAAAGTAAATGAATAGATATTCGAAATTGATGTTGGGGTGGGTGGTGGGGTCGTTGGAACAGTTAAAGGGAAAGTGGTGTTTTCATGTCTGAGGGTAAGTGGATAGAGGGGGAGAGGGGGGAGTGGGTAGATGTGTCTGACGAGGCGTGGAGAGGGTGTCTGCGTGTTTTAAGGCAAGCCAAGCGTCAAATTTTGTGCTGTGTTATCTGACTGCTGAGGTGTTACCATTTGTAGTGTGTGTGGGTGGGGGGGGGGGGGAGGGTTTGACGAACAGATTGCTGTGTGAGCGAATTTGTGGGAGGGTGAAAGGTTGGTATGTTCAAGTCGGTGTTTATGTTTAGATGAATGTTTAGTACCGACAGGTTAGGGGTGGGTAGGCGTGTAGCTATCACGGGGTTTGGGGATACAGTGGAGTTTTATAGATCAAAAAATTGGTGTTCACATAAAAGAGTTAGTAAAGTTAACGAAACAACTGTAAGTGTTAATTTGGTGATAATACAATGAATACAAAAGGAGTACGGGTCATTGGGGTCATTTGTACGTTGTGGACCAAAGTACCTTACATATATGATAATAGTAATATAGTAACAAATGATAGCTTTACAATGTTTGTAAGCTTTATAAATTAAACAATACACAAAAAGCAACAATAGGAAAATGAATGGCAAATGATAAATGATGCGACACAAAGTGGGGACATGAGGGTTGAGGGGTGGGAGTTACATTAATGTTGTTAGAAATGTATTTGGATAATACATCATTGTCACTGTTTAACATAGTACTTCATCACAGGGGTGGTGGTGATGGGGACGAGGGGATGCAGTTTTGAGGGGAAATTTGATATTGGGATCATGAGGTTTAGGGGCGGGGGGCGGAGAGGGTGTTATGAAAGGGGGTTGTGTCAGTTCGATTAGGCGTTCCAAGTGGCAAAAGCAGTGTAATATGTTCTTTACGGTTTGGTGTTGTTAATTATGGTATATGTGTTTGAGTGCTGTCATTGTCGAGTCGTCTACGATAAATCAAGTCTAGTACGTGTCCCGTGAACTGTACCTTGTCGTGTTTTGCTTTTATTCTGCTGTTCCAAATAGTTTGTCTATATATAGCTACCGTCCTTGCTTTTTGCTCAAGGTCCGTCCTATCTCTTTGTTTTGGGATTTTGTTTAGAGTTATGACTATATCGATATTGTAGGTCTCGTTTTTTATTATTTTGTTTTCTAGCGTCTTTTTCATGTTTTGTATGGTGGGGCATTCTAAATAGATGTGCGTTTCGTTTTCGGGTGTGTTTTGTCTGCATAGTGGGCAAAATGGTTTCTGGTGTTTTGCTAGGGGTGTTGAATTGTAGATGAGTCTGTAAGTTATTTCCCTGGCTTTGGGTGTGATGGTTTTGAGGTGTAGGTTTCTGAAGGTGTCCATTGTGTCTGTTAGAGCGTATTTCCTACACCATTGAATTCTGTCGTATAGTGGAGTTGAGAGCTTTTGCACTAACTTTTTGTAAATGTTTTGTGACTTTTTGTGAACAAGTTTTTCGTTGTTTTTTAATATTTGTAAACATTCTGTGTAAAAGGGACTGTGTTTTCCTCCTATGTAATGTGGAGTTGTATTATTGATTTTTGTAAGTTTGTTTAGCTGAATGCCTATATAGTAGTGAGCTAGAGGGTGAAAGTTTGGTTGGCTAATTATTCTGCTAATGTGTGTTAGTCTGAATGTATTGATTTTGGTCTGTATATCGTGCAGGTTTATTCCTCCATGAAGTTTGTTTTGTACTAAAGTGTTGTGGCTAATGTTTGAAATTGTGGTCTGAAATATGTACTCTCTAATGATTTTATTCAGATGTTTAATTGTTGGCTTTGGGATTGTTTTAGCCGTGGCTATATAGGTAATTTTTGGGATGACATACCTATTAATTATAGATGACCTAGCAAAAATTGTTGTTGAGCTAAATTTATAAAGTGCTATGGTGTTTTGGATTTTGCTTAATACTTGTTTCCATTCATCATCGTTGTTGGTGTGTGGGTTACTATAGTGGGTTATGCCGTAAAGTTTTAGTTTG